AACGTTTTATCTGAAAGGTCCTGTAACGTTTCACTGTTGTACTGGCTTCATCACTGCCCTATCTTGAATATATTCTGTTTAACCACTTTACAAACTACTTATAAATCGCAGTGCATTTTTTTGGAATCTAAAATCCGTCTTAGCTTATTTGATTGTACGCTGCCAGAAAGTGATCGGGGGTTGTGACTGAAATTCAGCGTGTACAAAAGCATTACTCTTTCACTATAAAAGTAATAAATAACTTTTTTTTCCCCAAAACAAACTAAAGTTACGATTTTGTATCCAAAATGTATCACTGAAGAATAAAAAAAGGTCTATAAACTGTATATTGATATTTGGTCAGCTGTCATCCCCTTCCTACGCATCCACGCTTTGCTGTTTCGTGGACAATTGAGGGGCGATTGTCAAGAAATGATTGTCAAGACAGAATGCAGCAAAATCAAGACTGAGCCAGTGATTAAATCGGCAGGGGGAGGCATGAGACTTCCTCTTTGCAAGTTGCAGACGGCCGAGATTCATCAACTCTTTACAGACAGTTCAATCTCAGAGCCACGGCGGTAAGGAGATCAGCTGAAAGGGCAGAGGCGGGATCTGAAACCCACGTCCGCGAATTTCTTCCACAATATCCCTTCCACGTCTTAACAACAAGAGGAGATCAATCCTTCACAAGTTAAAAAAAAAAAAAAAAAAAAAAAAAATAGTTGAGTCTCTCCTACACGTTTCGGAATTTCTTCTTCGTTTTCTTTCTTTCTTTTTTTTTCTTCTCTTTTCGGGATAGCATTCCCAAGCCGCCTTTCCAGACGAGGACCTCCTTCAGGTCCCCCCGGCATCTCCTTTGGGTGATCCGAGACGCCCCCGAGAGCTATTTCGAGGACTTTGAAGACTCAGACGGGGACGGGCGAGGCAGAGAGGGGGGCGCAGCGGGAGGGGGTCGAGTTCACAGTCAGGAGAGTGTCAAAGGCCAGGTTAAGGCAGAAGAGAACCGGGACCAGGAAGATGGGCAGCCAGTGGTACCACTCCGACCCCTCCACCCAGATGACCTGCGGGGGGGGGGGGGGGTGTTAGTGCCGTCAGGAAAAAGGTAAGTCGCTCTGTGTATATAGATGTATGTGTGTAAGTGTGTATATATATGTGTGTGTGTGGATGTATATGTATAAGTGTTACATATATGTGTGTGTGTATATAGTAATATACATATACATATATATATATATATATATATATATATATATATATATATATATATATATATATATTATATATATATATTATATATATATATATACGTATATATATATTATATATATATATATATATATATATATATATATATATATATATATATATATATATATATATATATATATATATATATATATATATGTATATATATGTATAAGTATGTATATGTATATATATATATATTATATATATATAATATATATATATATATATATATATATATATATATACATATATGTATATATATATGTATGTATATATGTGTGTGCGTGTATTTTGTATGTATATATGTGTGTGTATGTATATATATATATATATATATATATATTATATATATATATATATGTGTGTGTGTGTGTGTGTGTGTGTGTGTGTGTGTGTGTGTGTGTGTGTGTGGTGTCTGTGGGTGTGTGTATATATGATATATATATATATATATATATATATATATATATATAATATATATATATATATATATATATATATATATATATATATATATATATATATATATATATATATATATATATAGTGCATGTGTGTGCTTTATAGTAATTAATAATTTTAGTAGATGCTATGGCTCAGCAAGACAGACCGACACCTGACCTTCAGCGCCCGCAATCAATACCGCGCGGCGCCCACGGCCCGCACCCACCACACAGTGAGAAGGACGGCCTCCTCCAGCAGCCTCAGGACGTGGTACATGAGGCTCTGTGTCTTGGGAGCGACGCCGCCCACGTCCACGAAGGTGAAGAGGAACACCAGGCCCATGGCGCCCGCGTAGAGGACGTCGTCGAGCTGGTGGCAGAGGCCCCGCTGGCGGTCGTGGGCGAAGGCGGCGCGAGTGGAGGCCGTCCGAGGGAAGCACAGGAGCTGGGGGAGGAGGGGCGTGAGGCGGGAGCGAGGGGGAAAGCACGCAAGAATTTTATGTACGGGATTGTGTGTATGTGTGTAGGTGAACTGTGTGAACCGTGGGTATGTGTGTATATGTGAACTGTGTGTATATGTGTATAGGTGAACTGTGTGTATATGTACATACGTAAACTGTGTGCATATATGTATAGGTGAACTGTGTGTATACATGTATAGGGAGATGGATAGATTAAGTATAAAATAGAGAGATTGTGTTGACAGGTGGATTGATAGAGAAGAGAGATACAGAAAGAGAGAGAGAGAAAGATTGACATGTAGATAGACAGAAATAAGATAAAGAAACACCAAGAAATGTAAAGAGACATCTATAAACAAACAGATATATCCACACAATGTATCCACATTCTCCACACGTTTCCCTCCACCAGCACTTCACATCAGGTCAATGACCCCCTCCCCCTTCCACGCCCACGCCCAGCCACAGAGCGAGAGAGCGAGGGCGGCGAGGGCGGCGACCCACCTGCGAGAGCACCCACAGGGACATGAGCACCCAGTGGAAGGCGACCACCATCACGAACGCCACCAGAAGCTTCGACGCGAATAGGGAAAAGCTCATTACCTGTAGGAGGAAGAACGGAAGGAGGAGGTAGAGACGGAGAGAAACTCGAGAGAGTGAAAAAAGGGAAGAAAAAAGAATGATAATGATAATTTGGTTAAAAGAAGGAATAGAAAAAAAGTAAAATAGTATATGATACTTCGAGAGAGTGAAAAAAGGAAATAAAAAGAATGATAATAATTTGGTTAAAAGAAGGAATAGAAAAAAAAGTAAAATAGTATATGATACTTCGAGAGAGTGAAAAAAGGAAATAAAAAGAATGATAATAATTTGGTTAAAAGAAGGAATAGAAAAAAAAGTAAAATAATATATGATACTTCAGATCCTTTGGTGACAATTGTATATTGTAACTATGCAAGAAAAAACGCACACATTTTTAAAATGATATTTTGCCTTGAAAAAAAAAAAAAAAAACTATGCACATAGTATTATAAAGATACTTTGGTAGAATAAAAACACCAAACAAAATAAATGTATGATAATAATGTGGTAGACAAAAAAAAAAAAAAATACCAATATATAAGATAAAGAAAAGTCCAATAAATCTAGTTTGTGTATAATGTATTTTTATCCCAGTATCATCACGGTAGAATAATTTACCATTTATAATGATGCTGGTAATTGAAGCAATGATGATGATTGTCATTATTATCATTATAGTTGTAATGGTACAGGGAAGAATGATGATAAGAATGATACAGATAGATTAAATGGTAATAATTATTATATTCTTAATTTGATTGAAATAAAGATAAAGGTAATGATGATCCTAAACATAATAGTAATAATCATATTATGAAGAAACTGACAATATTATTGATTTAATTGAATTCATGATAGAGTAATAATGATTATGATATATAGTAATCTCAGTAATGACAATAATGATACAAAGATAATGATAAGAATATGAATAATAGATTAAATGATGATGATAGATTATGAAATGAATTATTATTATGATGAATGAAAATATAACAATCATGATGAGAAATAATGATAAAACAATAATGACGAAGATAAAGAGAATATTGCTTTTGATAATGATAATTTAGCAACTAATAATACCATTCATAATTCCAGGACTGGCAACCCCCCTTCGAACCCTACCCATTTTTTTTTTTTTTTTTTTTTTTTCTTTTTTTTCTTTTTCTTTTTTTCTCACTTTTTTCTATTTCTTTCTTTCTTTTCTTTCATCCCTATTTCAGATTTGTTATTTTTTATTTTGATGTCAGTTTTTTTTCACCCTTTTTTCCTTTGTTTTTTTATTCCAATCCTTTTTCTTTTCTCTTCCCTTCACATTTTTTTCTTTTTTTTTCTTTCACCTCCCCTTTCACCCCTTCTACCGTCACCTCCCCATACCCCATCTACCCCATACCCATACACTCTCCCCCCATCCCCTCCCCTTCCCCTTCCCTTACCACCCCTTCCCCCTTCAACACCTTCCCTCATAACTTCCTTCCTCCCTTCCCCTTACCCTTTACCTTCCCTTCCCCACCTACTCCTTCCCCTACCCCTTCTACCCCTTCCCCACTATCACCCTCTATCCCTCCCCTATTCCCTAACCCCTCTTCCCCAACCCTCCCCTTCCCTACCTCCTTCCCTCCCCCTACCCCCACTCCCTTCCCCCTTCCCCTTTTTCCTACCCCCTCTTCCCTTTCCCTTCACAACCCTTCCCCTTACCCCCTTTAACACCCCTACCCCTTCCCCCTCCCCCCTAACCCCTTACCACCCCCTACCCTTCCCCTCCCCCCTTCCCTTCCCTTTCCCCACCTTCTTCTCCCTTCCCTACCCCCCTTCCCCACCCCTTCCCCTTTCCTCCACCCTTCCCTACCCCTACCTTTCCCTCCACCCTTCCCTTCCCCTTTCCCCCCCTACCTCACCCCTACCCTAACCCCCACCCATTACCCCTTCCCCACCCCCAGTCCCCCCACCCCTCCTTTCCCCCTCCACAGCACCTGCCGCGATGGAGCAGAAGTGGGAGAGGGTGAGAAGAACCAGGTCGAGGATGCTGAGGTTCCCGAGCGCCGGTTCGCACAGCCTGACGGCGCGGACGAAGGAGGCGACGGACCAGGCCAGCGTCAGGAGGGAGGCTGTCACCGAGGTCATCTGCCATATGACTGCGGGGGGAGAGGAGGGAGGAGGAGGATTTAAGGCGTTTTTGTGCGTTAGTTTGTTTGTTTGGAGGAGTTTGTGATTGTCGGGAGGTGAGGAGGAGGATTTGAGGAGTTTGTGCGTTTGTTTTGTTTTGTTTGTTTGTTTGGGTGTGTTTGTGATGGCTGTTCGGGAGATGAGGATATAGGGTTGTTGTGCGTTTGTTTTTTGTTTGTTTTTGAGGCGTTTGTGTGTTTGGTTTGTTTTGTTTGTTTGGGTGTGTTTGTGATGGCTGTTCGGGAGATGAGGAATGGTTTTTTGTGTTTGTTGGAGGGTTTGTGATTGTCGAAGTTGTTTTGTTTGTTTGTTTGTTTTGGGTTGTTTGATTGTCGTTGAGTTTGTGATTTCGGAGATGAGAGATTGATTGTTTTTTTGTTGTTTTTTGTGTGTTTGGGGTGATTGTTCTTAGGGCTGATTGTTGTTGTTTGTTTGTTTGTTTGGGTGTGTTTGAGTGTTTCGGGCAGGAATGTTTCGTGTTTGTTGTTGGAGTGTTTGTTTTTTTTTGTGTGTTTTTTGTTTTGTTTGTCTGGTGGATGTGTTTGATGGGCTGTTTCTGGAAGGTGGGTGATTGGTTTGTTGTTTGTTGTTTGTTTAATTTGTTTTGGGTGTGTTTTGAATTATACTATTCATAACATACATCTAATTAGAGAGATTATGACATAGCTGAACTACATCTAATTTTAATTTAAACTAATCTAACTATACTCTATTGAACTACAACTGAATAACTTTGTTGTATTGAACTCTAGCTGTAGTTCAGATGTTCCAGACACCCTGTTATATATACAGCGTCGATATAATGATATAGACATGAGAACTTCTAATATATATCCATTTTAATAGTTTAAGAATTTAATTTAATTTGATTTAATATGTTTTGTATTGCCAGTAGTCATGAATTATATGAATCAAAAATGAATCAAATCAATTATATTAATACACACAAAGTATGAATAGCTCAAAATTACTGTCTGAATCTCTTCTATAATAACTATAAATAACTTACTTGAAAAAAGGTTTTCCCATTCAACCCTCCCCTCTCCTTTCTCCTCCCTTCTCTCTCGCTTCACTTACCCTTCGCTTCCCCTCCTCTTCCCCCTTCGTTCTCGTACTTTTCTTCTCTTCCCCTTTCTTCCCTCCTCCTTCTTTATGCCTTTTTCTCCTTTCTGTTTTTTTTTTTTTTTTCTGCCTGCCTCTCTCCTCATCTGTTCTCTCTCTCTCTTTTTTTCTCTCTCTCTCTCTCTTTCTTTCTGTTCTCTCTCTCTCTCTCTCTCTCTCTCTCTCTCTCTCTCTCTCTCTCTCTCTTCTCTCTCTCTCTCTCCCTCCCTCCCTCCCTCTCTCCTCTCTCTCTCTCTCTCTCTCTCTCTCTCTCTCCTCTCTCTCTCTCTCTCTCTCTCTCTCTCTCTCTCTCTCTCTCTCTCTCTCTAGAACAACAGATGCATTTACAGACACACCCCTCTCATACCCATGTAAATGTATATATGCGCAGTCATATACATACTACATATATATACATATATTGTCTCTTCCTCTCTCTCTCTCTCTTCTTCCTTCTCTCTCTCTCTCTCTCTCTCTCTCTCTCTCTCTTCTCTCTCTCTCTCTCTCTCTCTCTCTCTCTCTCTCTCTCTCTCTCTCTCTCTCTCTCTGCTTACTCACAACCTCTTCCTTCTCCCACTCTCCTTTCCTCTCCCTTCCTCTCCCTCCTTCCCATTCCCTCTCCCTCCCTTATCCCCTTTTCCTCCCCATCCCCCATTCCCTCTCTCAGTCCCTCTCCTTCTACCTCTCTTATCCCCTCTCTTCCTCTCCTACTTTCTTGTTTTTCCCTTCTCCCTTTCCCTCATTCTCCCCCTAATTGTCTCTTCTCCTTTTATCCTTTTCTACTTCTCCCTTCTTTCCCCTCCTATCTATCCATTTTTCCTTCATTCATCGCTCTCCTTTCCTTCTCATCCTCCCTCATCCTTCGTTCATGCCTCTCCCCTCTTCATCACTCCCCATCCTAACGCCCCTCATTCAGTCTCCTCTCCTACTCCCCTATTCCCTCTCCTTTGCTCTTCCTTCTAACTCACTCTTTCCCTCTCTCTTCCTATCCTTTCACCTCCCTTTTTCTTTCCCTTCCTCTCCCTCCACCTTTCTCATTTCCCTCTCCCTTCACTCTCCCTCCACCGCCCTCCTTTCCCTCTCCCTCCCTCTCCTCCACCACCCCCTTTCCCTCTCCCCTCCCTTTCCTTCCACCTCTCTCCTTTGGTCTCCCTCTAACTCACTCCTATCCTCTCCCACCCCCTTCCCCTCCCTCTCCCCTTCCTGTCCTAATCACCCTCCTTTCCCCCTCCCTCTCCCTCCCTCTCCCTCCCTCTCCCACCCCCCCCCCCCCAAACTCACTCGTCTGGCTAAGATGGCCGTGCAGCGCCCTGTTCGGGAGAGAGTCCTCGTCATGATAAACAGATGGAGGATGAGCAGAGGCGCGTCCTGCAGGAGGGACAGGAGGAGGTCGACGTTGGCCGCGTCCCTCTCGGCGTGGATCCAGAGTGCCACGTAGCCGCCCTTGGAACACGCTCCGCCGGTGCGTCGGGAGCAGGCTGTGGGAGCGGGGGGGAAGGGGGGAGAGGGAGGGATGG